TACCTTGAGCACAGGCAGAAATATCACTTCCTTCGATGTGAGTTCTGTCCTATGGCTTAAACTACTATTCTTACAAACAATCCATTCCATTATCATGAGATTTATAATCTGGAAATCAACCTAAAGTCCTTATTCCTTACTTTGAAATATAAATTTAACTACAAGTATGCTGGTTATCTTTTTGTTTTTACTGTTTGCTCTTTTTTTTTTTCTTCTTTAAAAAAAAAGGGGGAAAAAAGTAGAAATGAGTTAAATAGAGTTAAATATAGACTGGATTACATCACTCAATCTCTACTACTTGCATTTTCTAGAAGGATACTAATTTACTGCCAAACTATGACTCAAAAGATCAATAGCAAACAATCTGTACAAGTTTACACAAGAGAACTGAAGTATTTTGCTCMTAAGCATTGCTCTTTAAAGGCAAAAATAGATACTTTGGAGGAAGGCTRCATTTTTAATTTTCACTGTTGCTCTCGGAAGTATGTCCAAACAGTTATGGGGATGTTTTTCTAAGAAATTTGTTGCTGCCCATTGAGAAGGTAGGGGAGTTTGAATGTCTATGACTTCTTCAAATGCTCCCACTTAACAGAGGTCAGACATAATGCTTCTTTCCACAAGGATGGTCTCAAAATAAAAAAAAAATAATAAAATAAAAAAAAAGCTCTTAATTTACAAGTTTGACATGTTTTTTATTGTAACAAAGAGCTCAAATGGAGGTTGGAAAAATGCATTGCTGTTTAAGGATGTGGATCGTGGTGGCTGTGGTTGAGTGATTAATTTGCCGTTTCTTTATAAGCATTAGTATGCCCTGCATATGATGATATTTAGCATGCTTTGATTCTTTTGAACTCTTAATACATGGAAGCTAATGATCCCCTCTTCATTCATGTCTGTGCTTAGTTAACATTCTGTAGAAGAATGTTATTTGGCCAATAAAACTCTTGAAATAACAGACACTTCTCATTTTTTGTATGTTCTCTTTGTTGAATGTGGCAAACATTGCACTCCTCAGTCACTGTCTTAACAGTTTTTCTAATCATTCATTTGTTGGTTCATTTGGCAAGTCAAATGTCAGAAGGGAAGAGGGAGAAGAGCCACTTCTTTAACTTCAAAATCCCAGATTTTAAAATTATGTATAACTCCTTCAAGCTCTAGGAAAAAAAAAATGTGCAGCTTAGCAAAGGACCTTGTCCCTTTAGTTCAGCTTATGCTTTTTATTAAACTGTTTGGCTCTTGACTTAACATTATCTACACAGTAAATGATAGCTAAAGTCTCCACAGTGTATCAAGCAATTACAGAAGCGCCCTGACCATCTGTAGATTATAATGCTTGATAGCTATGGGGTTTTTGGGGCTTTAAATGTTTGGGCATTTCATAGCTTCTAAATTGGAGAAAAAGTACAAATTGTAGAAAAACAACCAAGAGGAAAAGTAGAAATTGGGAAGCTAAAAAGTGGACTAGGAAAAAAGGGCAACTTAGGCAATAAGGGCAGCTTTGGGTCGGTTGCTGTGCATCTCTTGAACTTGGCATTGCTCTTCATTCTTACCCGTTCACCCACTGCARAGTTTTGTTCTCCTTTTACGCAGCACTTGTCAAAATGCTATGACAACTAGCTGGTTTCGGACAAACAGAGCCTGGCTCTGAGAAGGCAGCATGTCTACAAGGCAAACATGGAGGGCAGCCATTGGCACTGGAAGAAGCAAGAAACCACAGATTGTTTTCTCATTGGATGAAGAGCTTAAAGCAACGTAAAGTTAATTGAAGAATTCCTTGAGAGTGAAGTCAGACTAAAATAAAAGCTTAGGGGGCTATAATTTACTAAATGTGAAAGCTTTGTAAGCAGTAGAGAAGCTAAAAGTTTGAAGAGAACATATTTTAGTAAACAGATCTGGCTTGTGTTATGGACTGTCCTGTTTTAATTATTTGTCCAAATAATGTAGATTTGCAGTAGGATCTCTAATTAGGCACAGTTTGATTTATTGTGCTGGCCCCATATAAGCCATGATGTCATGCTGTACTGCTCAAAATTACAGCTCTGCTCTTGCAGTTTAAAGACGATTATTTTTAACTTTGGAATGTTTCAGTTTTGTGCATCTTGGCTTTTTGCTTTGTGAACTTAAGATGTTCACTTCTCCCCTCCTGCCTCCTCCTCCAGATCAAAGCATTTTGTTGTAAAAGCTATTGAAGCGGCCTTCTCTTTAAACGATGTTGATGATTAGGAAGAGGCAAGAATATTCATGCTTGTTTCAAGGGGATTGAGAAATAGGTACAATAGTAGGTAGTGAGCTGTGTTTTGCCAGGTGTCCAGGTGCTGATGCCGTTCCAGAGCAGGAGTGCTTCATTTATACCTTTAAAGGTCTTAGTATTCTTTTGATGCTGTAATTGAAGAGGAAAAAAAAAAGGAGGAGGATCTGCCTATTACTGCAGGTAATAATTATATTCTAGGAGAACAAGAGCTCTCATGCAGTGTAGTTTTTACTCATATGTCTTGTGTTTTCTACTTGTTTCCTATTTGAATAGGAAAATGTGCCTTTAGTTAAACCTAGGTTTGTTGCAGCTGCCCAGGGAAGGCTTTCCACAGGAGGGTTTYAGCATTTCTGCCCAGAGGTCTCCCTCCTGGAGAAGGAAGCAGCATCCCTGCTTGCCAGCATCCCTGACTGCAGTTGCAGGCAAAGGGACAACACACAGCAGGGTGTAGAGGATGGAAGCAGTGAAGGTTGGGTCAGAGTCATGTTGTTGTTCTCCCTCCGGACTCTGCCAGCTTATTAAAGCCTTTCAGGGTGGGGTAAGCTTTACTGTGGAGAGGTCAGGACAGCTTTAGGCTGGGATGGAGGCTGACATCGAACTGGAATGGGAACAAGGGCACTGGGGTCTCACAATGCAACTGGTGGCACTTCCTTAACTGTAGATATCTTAAGGTGGGAGTTGTTCCATCTCCATRTGAGGARGAACTTCTTCMCTGTGAGGGTGCCAGAGCCCTGGCACAGGCTGCCCAGGGAGGTTGTGGAGGCTCCTTCTCTGGAGATCTTCCAAACCTGCCTGGATGCCGCCCTGTGCCCYGTGCTCTGGGTGTCCCTGCTGGAGCAGGGGGGTTGGACTAGATGATCTCTAGAGGTCCCTTCCAACCTCAACCATTCTGTGATTCTTTGATTTTGTATTTTTGAGGCAGCAGTTGTGGCAGGGAAAGACAGGCTCCATTTTCAAGGAGAGCAATAAGGATTTCTGAGTGGAAGGGGGAAGGCAAAAATGGATTCTGTGGATTTTAGAGGAGAGAGTTGGTAACCTGCCCGTGGAAATTACAGCAGTGTTCCAGGCTTGTGTAGCATGAAAATAATGCATTTTGAACCAATGCAAAGCTATACTTATAAGAAGTGTTAATTACATAACAGCTGACTATTTCTATACTATAAATTATGTATATAAATCAGATTACTGCTTAAAAAGCTTATAAAGAGCCATGGATTTTTTAAATTTTGTGTTAGTTTTTATAGAGGAATGTTCTCAAATGAGCATCCCTTTTTTAATGCCATCAATTGTTGACTAACATTGTTTTTAAACATGCTGCTACTAGTCCGCCTATAACKAATTTAAGTTTACTGTACTGAAACTTCAGCTTAGTATTACTTGAAGCAGTTAGACCTTGAGAAACTAATGACTGATAACAGTTTAATTCTTCTCTGTGCAATAGCTGACTGACGTAGATTTAATTATTTTAGTTTGGCAGGTCTTTACCTGACATTTGCGTGCCATGACTCGGAACAGCCTCCTTCTGAGTGGCATAACCTGCTTTTGCCACTGCTTTACATCTGGTCCGTAGAGCTAGGTGTTCATCTGTACGCTGTTTTGTAACTCAGAGAGGAGTTGTTTGCAATTATTGAGTGAGGATCTGTGGCCTGCACTGTATGGTGAAGTGATTCTAATGGCCAAACAAGGTGGGAAGCTGGTGAGAAGGAAGGAAATAGAGGGATGGCAGTCAAAGCTACCTGCTGCTGTGAGACCTCTGGTTCTGCGGGGAGGTCTCAGGTGGAAAGTAATGATACTTTCCAGCTATGGTACTTCAAGTTTTTTCTCTTTCCTGTTGCTACAGTGTAAAGCTTTCTGGCATCTCACAGCACTGAGARTTTCTTCAATAACAAATATATGAAGACATTTTCTTGGTGTTGATTCACAAAAATCAACTGGAGAGGCTGTGTACAAAAGTGCTTGGACAGAGAGAGAAGTGACGACCCGATCTGGTGCACAGGGCATCCTAGGGAGGTGCAGTCATGCTCATGAGCAGGGCAGGGGAAGGGGCATGTTTGGCAGCCCCATAATTTGAACAGCTTATTTGACATTGATTGGTGGCCACAAACAAGAAGTTACRCTATGTCTCTTGGGATCTTCCTCTGTACCTCCCTTCCCTCTTCCTCAGCTTCAGTTGTTCTCTAGCCTCTTTTGGCCGGAATGAACTGCCTCAGCTGAAAAAGCTGTTCATTTATGCTAACCATTCTTATTTGAATGTAACGATYATGAAGTGATCATGCAGACAAGGCAGCTAGCTTGAGGAGCATCCACTTACCCTGTGGTTAGGGGAGAGGGAATAGGAGAGCGGGCAGAAAGGGACCTCTTGGAGGAGGAAGAGACGTGCTTGCAACCAGTGGTGCTGTCTGCTCTGCACCTGGAGGTTCAGGAGGCAGGTACATGTAGGTTAGCTTCTGACCACGGGGTCTTTGCTTGCTGATTTGAGTGTGGTTACAAGGAGGCCATGATGGCCCAGGTCATGTGTAGAGTAACTTAAAAAGAGTGAGCGGCTGTACACGTAAAGGTGGACCACTACAGTTGTTATCGGAGATTAAAAACAGGCCAAGTATGTTTTTGGTGTTTTGCAAGGTTGGTACTGACTGTGGTGCAGAGGAAGGCCTGCCTTTCCTCACCTGCAGCTGGAGGTGCGCTCAAGTAAAACCCGGCCTCCTCATTGGCTATATCTGGAGTTCAGAAGGCAATGCTAAGGTAATTCATGTCCATTAATGAAACCTCTGCCCTCGTCCTAGGTGGCGAGTTTAGAGAGGAGGAAATGGAGGTGAGGAGCCTAAAGGTGGAGAGGGAATCTGTTTCAGAGCTGAAATTAAACTTTGGCTCCAGGCATYGTGCCTCTGGAAATTTCTAAAGTGTTTGAGTTTCATGTCAACACTGTCCAATTACAGCACTGTAATTTAGAGTAATTTATAAATCTGTATCTGCAGTGGGTAAGATTTGCATAAACCACATACATTAAATGTAAAAGCACTGGGTTAAATAATTAAGTAATAAAAAGATCACAGCAACATTAAGGAACACAAAAAACTCTGTGAAAAAAGGCTATAAGGCTATTGTATCTCTCTGAGTTCTTCGAAGAGCAGAGGAGATGTACTAGATCAGACCAATGTCCATCTAATTTAGTGTCTTGTTTCCATCTGTAACCAATATCCACTGAGAGATTAGAGGAACAAGGCAAGAACAGGCTTTGTCTTATTTTGCTGGTTTTGCCAACATTTTGCTCCAACTCTATTCTGAAATCTATTTGCAGCTTTTAATTCTGGTTTTGATAAAAGTTATGCATCATTCCGACAGCATATCCATGGTAATCTCTGTTGCCACATGAACAGTATGACTAAGCCCACCCCAGCTTCCCTCAGACATAGTTTTTAATCACCATCTGCTAATGGCATGTTGGAATATATACTTGCATATGATAAATTACTTTCACAGCAGGGTAAGTTCATCTGTTCACCTGAGCCTGGGAAACTGAAGAAATGTGAGTTGTCCAATTATTTTGTTTCTTTATCCTTTTTATAGAAAGAATACTGGTTATGGCAACTAACAAAAGACCATTTCCTAGAGGGATTTGAAGAGACAGATAAGGATGGTTGTTAAAAAATGTGAAAAAAAGTTGCTGGATTTTGTATTTTCTTCTTGCAGCTCTGTAGCTGGTGCTTTGCCACAGCCTAAGTCTATCATTTATGTTAACGTCATGACATGCTTGCAGTGAGCAGCTTTTTGCATTGACTAAAAGCTATCCAATCCACTTAGTTAAGAACTGAGAAAAGCCTTTTATGGCCTTGTTTGTAGTTCTGCTGTGAGCATTATTCTTTAGAGAACATCATGAAATGACTTTATTAAAAATTACAAAAAAAAAAAAAAAAAAAGATATTCTAATTTAGAATGTTTTAAAATTATTTTTAACTAGTTTTTTGGCTGCTTTAAGTAGTTTTAAATGATGATGGAATGAGTGAAATCAGGAAATAAAACCAGTGTTTTCCCTGTTTTTTGTTGCAGGGCACACAGGTTAAACATACAATGTGTTCTCAGAAAAAACAATTTCATTTTTACTAATGTAGAGGCACAGTGCAAAAGCTGGCCGTTTTATGATTGAGTGGTACTAAAATTCTGTTTACTGTCAGTCTTTTCACATCTGAATCATGTTATTTAATCCAGATTTTCTTTGAAACCACTGCCAGCCGTGCAGTATGGATGAATGCTTGGAGAAACCAATTGATGCTATGCATATTGATGCTTTTAATTGTCTAGAATAATCACAAATTTCACACGGAGAGAGAGAGAATGTTTATTTCCATTCTCCATCTACTTAGCTTTACATATAGAAAAATAAAAAAAAGTAACCTTCCCGAAGAAAACTACGTGTATTGTCAGAAGGTTACTATAACTGAAGGACAACTATGGTTAATATAGAAGTCTTCTGCTTTGCTTTCGCTGCACATTTGGAAACAATATGCATTGAGCTCTTGTCATGCACTACCTTTGTAATCAGTGAATATATTTCTTTCTTTGTTTCGTGGGGGGTCTTTCATGCCAAGGCAAGTGAGAAAAAGAACATAAACAAGGATAGCCAAGTGTCTGTGCCCATATCTTATAGGTCAAAATCCCATTTCCTTAGTTCTCTTTGACTAGTTTGCTTGATCTAAAATATTGGACAAGAAATGAATGAGAAATCCTGTAAAAAAAAAAATTAATAGCTCGGGGACTTTCGTCTTAAAAGCCTGAATCATATATTATATGATTTCTAAAGACGAAATTGTGGCTAGTGTTTGATTCCCTGCACAGTAACTAATTGTGCAGTAATTTTTTCACACTTGCTAGCTAGCATCGTACAGAGCCATAATTAATTGCTGGCAGTAATACTGACTGGTGGATAACACAAAGCAGGATTTGATTTATCAGTGTCTTGCCAAACTCTTGCAGCCTGAGCCTCCATCTTCCATGAAGCTTTTGTGGTTCCTGCTGCTCATGGAGCCCGATTTGAGCACAAGGGTWCCACGTGCCACCTGTGGGTGACAAACTCATGTGTTGAGTTGAATCCTGGACCAACAGCGCTGGTTTTCCCTTTCACATCTCCCTCTTAGGAAGAGCACTTCCTTCTGCTTCTCCTGAAACCTGCAGAAGGGATTTAGTTCCCGGAAATTTGACTTTTAGCTATAGAAAACAGAGTAAAAGATGCTGCCTCTAACCACAAACTGTGCCTTGCCTGCAGTTTGTGAAGTACTTCAGCAGCTTTCCCCTGCTTCTTCTATGTTTTAGCTCATAAAACATTCTTCACGTATGAACTACTGATTTTGTCTTGTTTTAAACCTAATCTTTATCCAGTATAAGTCAGGAAAATTGAAGAACTCTGAAAATTGAAAATTGAAGTAGGAATTTCATTTCTGATAGGAACATATGTGCCTAGTCATGATTCCAAAGGATTTTTTTCCCCCTCCCTTAACTCATGGCTAGAACATACCATATGCTGTAATATTTTCCATTTGTAGAGCCCACTGTCTGATCATTGCAAGCTGCTATGTAAACAGTTTTTGGTCTCACAGTTTATTTCTCAGAACCTGGAGTCTGCTCTGTTTTCTAGTGAGAATGTGGTGAAGTGACTTGCTCAAGGTTACCCAGTCTATCAGCTGTGTAGCATAGTAGTAACTTGGAATTGTAATTTTTTGACTTTGGGGGCTTTTCAGTTATATTTTTATTTATGTCATGCAGAATAACGTAGTGTATTGTGCCTGGAAAATAACTAGAAAATTTATTTGGGCTAAGAGTAAAAAGTCTGGCAAATAACTTAAGAGATAGTTCAGAATAGTCATTTATTACTTTCTTATACATTTTTAAAGCTATAATCTTTGCAGATAAGAGATGAACTGGACTAGATTGCATTTTTATGAACAGATTTCCTCTCAGACATTTTTAAGACCAGACAAAGATACTATATATTGTTTTTGTGTAAACTTTAGCTGAAAATGATTTCAGAGTAGTTTCTAAATTGTCAAGGTATGATTTGTTGGTTTTTTTTTTTAATCTTGATGGAAATGGGTGTAGTATTTGCCCCATGTTGAGTGTAGTCAGACCCAGCATGCTGCAGTGGTGGTAGGCAATGGTGGTTAAGTAGCTGAACAGTAGGTGATTTTCGTACTGGGGACAAAATGAAAGCCTTATAGAAGAACTGTTCTCTCCCTAGGATTTTTTTTATTTAATAGTTATGATTTTTCTTCCATTTCCTCTATTTCTGGTGATTTAGGTGGACCATTATTTCTGATGCTATCTCAGTTCCTGTATTTGTGGAGARAAGAATATTGTCCTTGCTGAATGAGTGCAAAAATATTTTCCCTTCTGCCAATACTTTTGGATAGATKATATATTCATGATACATAAAGTAACTGGGGAATTTTCAGGTAATTCAATCATGTAATTACAGTTTTCTCACTTTTATTTTGTGGGTAGCTTATCACTTTGAAAAAAAATGCCTCTAGCATGTTGAGGCTGTTTATGAAAATGAGTTAAMTGAAACATGAATTCAGAAGCATGTCTTGCATAAGAATAAAGAATAACTCTGACAGCAGTTGTTAAGAAGTGTAGGGGGTTTAAAACCTTAGGCATTTGAAGCTGTTTCTAAGAACGTCCAAAACTTGCACTTTGGATGCATAGGACAGGTGTGTTTTATGGAGGAGTGAGCGTACCTTGTCATCTCTCACTGGTGTTCTGTGGGAGTTGAAAGTTATTTATATATGAGGCTGAGAGAGAGTTTGGCAGCTTGTCCCTTTCTTACCTTTTTTCTCTCTTGGTGACATTAGTATTGTGGCAGCAACTTGCTTCTTTTCCCTCTGCAGCCCAAACCTTTTCGGTGTCAGGCCATCCTCTGACCCAGCTGCTCTTCTGCTTTTCCAGCTGCGTCCCCACTGAGGGTCCCAGGTTACGTGTTCTGTTTTCCTTCCCAAACTATGAGTATCCTTCCTCCCCCACCACCCTATGAACCTCTATTTTAAGTGACTTTCAAATGAAGGCCCTGGAGAAGAGTTGAAGAAGTTGACATAAATTTGTTTTCTGGAAAGTAGGGTGCTTTCTGACTAGAGTGCTCAAATGAGGGTGAAAGATTCTCTCTTCTGTTGCAGAGAGGGTTGTTTTGATGGAATTCCCCACCACACTACAGCAGTAAATTGAGAACCGCAGGACAGGTCTGCTTCTCTCTGCAACACTGGTGATGGTATAGTGGTTTCTTGGATGAGCTCAGTCAGAATATGTAAGATTTTTGCTTCACTGAGCTGTTTCTAGCTCTCTTTCCCACTTCTTCATCTATACATCCTTTTTTGTTATCCTTTTAATTGCCCTGAGACAAAGGATGAGGCTAGAGTAGACTTCAGACCTTCTCTCCAGTCTGCAGAAGAAGTTGAGAGGCTGATTCAGGAACCCTTAGGCTCCCATTGGATGGGATTAGTTTTCTAATACCCAAAGCTATGACAGAACTCTGTAGTTATTAAACTCCTGTGGTGAGTGTCCCATGAAAATGGCCAGACCTCATTTGTAACTTCTGAGCTTACATTTTCCTCCCTTACCTTAGTTTGCGGAACTTTGGGGTTTGAGGAGACTGACAGAGCAGTGAACATCATGCTCAACTTGTGAAGGTCAATTAGAGTAAGATTAGAAGAGTAATGAGAGGAAGAGAATTACCCAAACCCTCAAAAACAGAAGTCTACCTCAGTTTCTTGGTCCGTATTTTAAAATTTCTGCTGTTATATTTTCACAGCTTGTTACTCAAGTTGACTCAGATACCCTTGTGCACAACATAATCGTATCACTGGCTTCTGTGTACATACAGAGGTTAGATATTTCAGTGCTTGCACTGATAGGATATTCCTCAAGACGCACAACATCATTTAAGAGGTAGGTGGAAGTATTTAAGATGTTGTCTTGTGCAAAGAATCGGAAAGTACTAAAAATATTTGAAAATGAGGCTCTTCTGATACTTGCTGAATTTTCTGTTAGTAAGAGGAGATCAAGGAGAATATTTTTTCCTTTTTTTGCATATTTTTTTCCTAAATTTACCATATTACATTTATTGAGCTTTTTAATTTAAAATAGAGATACAACACTGGCCAGACTTATAAATAATATATTAAGATTTATCACAGGAATAAACTGTCTGYGATTCCAGTCAGTAACACTGATATTCAGTAAGGAAGACCACAGATGTGATAGTGGTTTGAGAGGCAGCTGAGGTAACATCTAGGAACATCTGGTGGAWGTTTTTCTAACCACTCAGCTACACAGATGCTAAGTGTTTTTTTTTCCATATTCTTCCTAGCCTCGGTTATGGATACTAGCATGCTTGTTACTAAAATGTCCCATCCCCCTGTGGTGCATGGCTTGCATTTGAATCAGTGAGTGCTTGTCTGTGGAGATGAAGAGAGTCATTTGGAAGGGTTCGGAAATGCTTTATGTTAAAAGGAAATGCACTATATGCATCAGTCAACGTAATAAGAAGGCTCTTGAATGTTTCTTTCATGTATCCAGTCATAATTGTGTATATTTGAATCTTTAATATGTTGTGTTTTTCTGTATTTTACCCTGTCACAGACATTTTCCTACTACTCTACAACCATCTTCGAGATGTTAATGTATATAAAAACAGATTTAGCTTGGTTGTCACTTTTCCTCATAGATTTTAAAATGAAGGAAAGGGTGTCTTTGTTCTTTTTTTATAGATCTACTTGAGAATTTTGAAGATAATTTGCGCATAAGAGTGGATGTTGACACTTTTTTGATCACAGAATCACAGAATATTCAAGGTTAGAAGGGACCTCTGGAGATCATCTAGTCCAACCTTCCTGCTCAAGCAGGAACACCTAGAGCATGTGGCACAGGGTGGCATCCAGGCRGGTTTTGAAGACCTCCAGAGAAGGAGACTCCACAACCTCCCTGGGCAGCCTGTGCCAGGGCTCTGGCACCCTCACAGTAAAGAAGTTCCTCCATGATGGCTGAGATGGGAAGGGTTAAAATGAACAAATTAACTGACAGTTTCCTGACTGTTTTTATTTGTTTTTTTAAAACCAAAATTCTTGCCCTTTAAATTTATAACAAGACATGGAAATGTGACTTTTTAAGGCATTGATTCTTTTAGCAGTGCCTTATCACAAGTGTTCTGGAGACTTTATCAGTCCAAGTTCTCACCTGTGTGAGTCACAGCACCTCATTCCATCATAGCAACAGACCAAGGACAAACATTCTGACCCAGCTTGGACACATCACCAAACTCTCAGGGCTCCTGGCAGCACAGGCACGGATCCCAGCACATGCGGTCAACACTATTTTACTGTTGTTTACCCATCAGAGTGCTATGGTGATGGTGAAGCCAGTGAGTATGATCAACTTGTCTTGTTCTTTATGGCTTAAATTGGCGATGGAAACTGGCCCATCATCATGTGAAATCTGTGATGGGAGTGCTGTGGGCTGTGCCCTGGTTAGAGCATCAGGGGAGCTCCTTGCCAAATGTTCTCCTTTGGTCAGTCTGAGYGAAAATGTGTTGATGCAAATGAAAAATGGGTGGGACAGCAAGGGATGCCCCTTGGCATGGCCATGAAGAATTAGCAGAGACCACAGTGGTGTTCTCACTKGAGACATGTCTTGTTTAGAGTTTTTCCAAGATGGCATAACTCAGTTTGTGATGTCATGTCCCTTGGCCATCCTGCTTAAYACTTGGAATATAGGCCCACATGCTGATTTACTCAAAATAGGCTCAAGCTTCATGAGTCATAGTTTTGTGGGTTCTTAGGTTTAGYTCTACAATGATTTCTCTTTAGCTGTTGTGATTGCTGGTCAGAGGCTCCAGTGGGTGCAAGATGCATCTGCCTTTTTCTACACATTGTAGTTGTTTTTGGTTTTGGTTTCTACAAGCTGAACACTGACTGAACTGAGGAGCTAACGCTCTAATTAAGTGACATACTGTCACATTTTATATACTCAGACTAGTTCATAAATGTGCTTGGTTTTAATTGTATCTCTAAAGATCCATCTAAACCTTATTGTGACATTAAGGCAATGCAAAATTCCATGCTCTGTGTTGTATGTTCTCAGCTTAGCATATCTGAGGAATTTTTGGCTACTATATGCTTTCCATATTGCCCCCATATGGCGAAAGAATGGAAACTAAAAAAATAATTCATCTTGTGGATTACAAATTGAAAAATGCTATGCTACCCTAATGCAATAATCCCATCCTGTAGATTAATGATTTGATGCTTTTTCTTTCTAATCTTGTCTGGTTTACTTTTTTTGTTTTCTGACTGCTACCTGTAATGCCTTTTTGAACCTATAGTCCGGAGAGATGCTAATTAGAAAAATAGACTGAGCTTTGTTTTATATAAAGCTTAATTTGAAAACAACTTTTGGTCAAACGACCAACTACTGCAGGGAGAAACAGGAAAGCAACTTTCCTGCCCCCATATAATCTTAATTATAATAAATGAGTTGCTCTATCATTATGAACATAACCTAATGGCCATACAGCTAAATATTTACTTGATAGTTTATTTAGTGCAGCTTTGTTTCTTTTTAAACTACACATTTTTTCTTTGCATCCTTGCTTCAACTGCCTGGACTTCTTAAACTCATAATCTCAGTATCTCTGATGTTAAAGAAACCAGAGTGTGAGGTCAATATTTCCATTACATAGCTAGAGAGGAATCTCAAGGAACAATGCCAAAATCACTTAAAAAATAAATTTACAGGAAAGATGACTCATCAATCAACAATTGCAGTTCTAGAAAACAGAATTAGTTGTATATATTCTGGGTACAGAGAAAGACAAAACGCACCCGGTATGACAGATGGGGGTAAAATAGGGTGACATTTTTTTCTTATTTCCTTTTTTTTAACCTYGCTCTGTTCCTTTTTTACCTTAAAAGGAGGAGCCTAAGTTGCATACGGTTTGTTGTGGCAGAAGTACCTTGTGAGGCCCATAAGGACCTGGCAGAAAGARCTGGTGTGATCCAGGCTTGCATTAATCAGGCAAGAAGCTGTAAGGCAAGGGGACCAGTTCACTTCTGCACTTATATACTGCCCATTTTTTGGTCTTTAATGTCTCCTGTAACTATAAGAAATTAAACATGAGGCCACCAGAGAGAGCAAAATACAGCAGCATGTGCTACGTGGGGATGAGGGCTTTCTGTGTTGGTGTGCAGTAACATGAGTGCGTATGAGGGCAGTTTGTTTCCTTCTAAAATACTTAGTGAATGACCACCGTGACCGATGGACCACGAAAGTCCGTCTGTGAGTGAAATCTCTTGGGCCGTGGCACAGTCTCTGGCCAGACTGGACTGCAGGCTGGAACTGGTGTGATGGTTCATGCTATGCCTGTTCTTCAACTGGGGAAGGCTCTGTGTTGCTGCCCCTGTTTTCTGTCCTTGGTGCTGCACCATCGATGGGCTTAGCTTACATGGAAAAAAAAAAGCAGAAAATTCCATCTTCCGACATGSGGAGAAAGTAGCATCTTAAGGACACAATGCCGGAGGCAAATCTACCACATCCTATGCACTCTTCRTAGCTCCGCTTCCTTTCCCGTCTAAACTGGGGGAAGAGGAGGAAATGATGTAATTGGCTCCTGCATCCCTAATCCATAAACATGGGCATCCCATTCTGTCACCAGCCCAAAGGGCTTACTCACTGGGATGCCTCAGCAGGATAACCAACAGCTAGAGGAGCGAGGCTGCAGCACYCTTCCGTGTCAGAATGGCTTTAGCCGAGGTTGCAATTATTTGTAAATAGGAAGTACGCTCTTGCAGTTCTCCARCTTCATGCTGTTGTTACGTATTTCCTTTTGCCATACCATTCTTTCCTGGAATAACAGTGTGCACACAATGCGACCTAGCAGTATATACTTTTTGAAAGGACATATAGGCTGCAGACAAGCTGTGTCCTCCTTGTGTGTTTTACTGTGTTTATGCATGATCCTTCTTTTGACAACACCATAGTTGTGTTTCTTGCTTCACTTACTGAAGTAGTTAATGCTCACAAGTATTGTGTTTCTGCCTATTACTTCTGGAGCATAGACCTAGCAGAAGCATGAGGAGACAGGACTCTCTGTCAGTACTGACAGTGACTGTATTTTCATYTCCAACTCCAAGAGAGGCAAAAGGTTTGATCTCTCAAACTCAGTAACTTTGGAAGTACTTTGAGAAGCTGCTGAGAATATTCTGAGTAGAAGTACTATTTTCAAACTACTCCCTGGCTCCCGCTRTTCCTGTGGGACACATTATAAGATGAGGCTGTGTGAGCGCAAGGAGGTCTCCGCCATGTGCTGATTCCAGAKCCTGCTCCTTCCATAGGGAAGGGATCAGCAGTGGTGGGACAGAGCTCACTTAAGATTATTATACACATGGGCAACAGGGAATCTGATTGAACCCTTCACAGGAAGAGCTAAACTCAGGTCTTTAAGAAAGCAACCTATTTCTTCATTCTCTTCTTTTTTTTTTGCTTCAGTTTTGCCCTTCAATTGGATTTCTTTCTTTTTCATGCRTGTGCTGGTGCATTGTCATGGATGACAGATTTGAGTGGTGGCCACAGTGTTTTTTCAGCTTTCAGAACACAATATGAGCTCCATCTCTATGACCTCAAGTCAAGGCAGTAATATAAGTCCCAAACTCTCCGACTTTTCAAGAAGTGTTCTCTTTTATCCTTAAAGGATAAGAAGATAAAGATATGGTTGGAGAACCTAGCAACTATCTCTCTGTTTTATTTTCCTTAGGATGCTGTGATACCATGGCAATGAGTTATTAATAAAACTCCAGACAGAAGGAGAGCTTCTAACTAACAGAATAACCATATATGAACAAATGTCATGATTTGGTCTGCAGGGTTGAAGAGTAGTTGAGCATTTAGCATAAAAA